TATCAATTTCATATGATTTAAGGTCACTTTTTATTAATTCTGTTTATGTCCCCCTACCTGGGGTTTAAAATTGTAAGTAGTGATCAATTTTCTCACAAAGGTGATGAAAATGTCAACCATAGTTATTAGCATATTTCAAAATCGATTAACAGATTTACACAGGTGTAAAAAAGTCAGGTATTCCCATGTTAAGTGATTATCATCACTTGTATAAATTTCTGGTTTATGGCGTCTAAACGAGGAACTCTACATTGAGAAGCTATGATGAGTAATACAGAAATTTGATAAAGAATATAATTTTTTTTTCATTTTTAACACCAACTATCTTGATAACTAGATTTAACCCAGATACTTTACCTACCTGAGATTGTAGATGATTTTTAACTCTACAAACCAGACAGGTTTTAGCTAATTCTATAGTGCAGTTTTAAATTTGCTGATTTTGGCTGTTTTCAGCCATATTTATAACATACCCCCGTATGTACATCAAAATATTATTAGGTTCACCCATCATTATTATACCAACATTAAAAGGAATCACTTTATGTCTTTATGAAAGCCTTTCCTTTCTGTCTTAAATACATGTCTGAATTTTTGAATTTGTAGGAAATCTCACCACTTTGAAATAAGTGGTTTAATTTGTCAGTTTACCATCATTTACAAATCAAATACACATCAAGCATCTTCCAGGTAGACTGAATGGCTTAACTGTTAATATGATTACTCATCAGTCCTGACATTATCAACTGGTAGGTGTGATCAATAGGTAACAGGTTGGCAGCTGAATTTCTCGGTTACTAATGTACGCTGACATGTTTATCACAGTCCATCCTGGAACATCAGAAATAAAATGCAGGAGTGCTGTTTACTTTCATGAGTCAGTACTGAACTTTTATTAAAAATCTTTTTGATAATCAGAATGACGATTTCACTTCAGGAAAGAATTCCACAGTATTGAAGAGGTAACAGTGATCCCAATGGTGGGGATGAAACCTAGGTTTCAGTTTACTGATGGGTTTGATAATATATTGATTTGGACTTGATTCAATATTTATAGGGACCTCTCCAATCCTCATATCCTGAAGTACTTGTAACAGTGTCATCTGGTGCTATCTTGTAATAACTTATATTGATTTATCTTAGATGTCTTGCCCCTTATACACAGGTGATTGCTCTATTTATATCTGTTTAATCTAAATCCATGTCTGTCTGTTCATCTGCAGTAACTTTTTAGCTACTCAATGAAATGATCTACATGTTTAGACATAAAAGAGGCTCTGTATCTGTCCAGCTGCCCTCCAATTCCAGACAAGAAGTATGCAGTGCGTATATCCTGTTTCCCAGAAACATTGTGTGCTAACATAAATACCTTTGCGTAGTTACCAGTAATTCTTGCTTGCGTGATAGATGCTCACAGAGTTGATCTGTTGAATGCATGTTACAGATGCTGAATCGACAATTATTAAAACATTTCATGTTTCAGTGATTAATCAAAATAGCACAGCCTGGGAAACTATCAATGTCACATCGATGTAACAAGGCTTCATGAACAGAATGGTTGGTCCAAATAGCTCTGTGTATGTTTAAATCGCTATGATATAATATACTGTGTAAATAAAATATAATAAACAATGTCATGTGTTTGAAAACCCACAGCTGGGAATAATGACAATGACATATTGTTCTTGTATATAAATTCAGCATTTCTTTGAAAAGAAAAGTAGGGCTTGGACAATTTCAATGACTTCACTGCGGTGGTTACCCTTTTCATTGGTCTGAACTGTTTCAACAGTAACAAGGTAACTTTTCAGCTTGTACATGCATATATACAGTATTCTATATCTCCAGAACATTGACTGGTCTGTAAATCAATAAAGTAGTCAGGGGTTGAAACAAAAGATCATTCTACTGCATCTGTACTGTAGCTTTATGTATGTACATCATTCAGTATTATAGTTTGTTACACAACAACAAAAACTTGAGTGTATGGTGAGGATTTTGGCCCAACAGTATCTTGTGATAGAGGTATTACTTGGCTTTTATTTCTCTTATCTGTATTGCATGCTGACATTGTTTTAATGGAGAATATCAGTCCAGATTTAAACTATTTTGTTGTACTAATTAATAGTGAATGCCTTATATGGAATTGACCAACAAAATATCTCTACAGGCTTTAATGTGGAAGTGAAAACATACTGAATGTCTTCTATAATTAATTCAATAAAATCTAACAAACATATAGGTTAATGGTTTGAAATACATGTTTTTAAACAAAATTCTAACCATTCAAGATACGAGCACATCTGTTTTCCTGTTTATCAGATTTACATCTGTTTTCCTGTTTATCAGATTTACATCTGATTTCCTGTTTACCAGATTTACATCTGTTTTCCTGTTTATCAGATTTACATCTGATTTCCTGTTTACCAGATTTACATCTGATTTCCTGTTTATCAGATTTACATCTGATTTCCTGTTTACCAGATTTACATCTGATTTTCTGTTTATCAGATTTACATCTGTTTTCCTGTTTATCAGATTTACATCTGTTTTCCTGTTTACCAGATTTACATCTGATTTCCTGTTTACCAGATTTACATCTGATTTTCTGTTTATCAGATTTACATCTGTTTTCCTGTTTATCAGATTTACATCTGTTTTCCTGTTTATCAGATTTACATCTGTTTTCCTGTTTATCAGATTTACATCTGTTTTCCTGTTTATCAGATTTACATCTGTTTTCCTGTTTATCAGATTTACGTCTGATTTTCTGTTTATCAGATTTACATCTGATTACCTGTTTATCAGATTTACATCTGTTTTCCTGTTTATCAGATTTACATCTGTTTTCCTGTTTATCAGATTTACATCTGATTTCCTGTTTACCAGATTTATGTCTGATTACCTGTTTATCAGATTTACATCTGATTTTCTGTTTATCAGATTTACATCTGTTTTCCTGTTTATCAGATTTACATCTGATTTCCTGTTTCCTGTGATTTCCCAGATTTACATCTGATTTCCTGTTTATCAGATTTACGTCTGTTTTCCTGTTTATCAGTTTACCAGATTTATGTCTGATTACCTGTTTATCAGATTTACATCTGTTTTCCTGTTTATCAGATTTATGTCTGATTACCTGTTTATCAGATTTACATCTGATTTTCTGTTTATCAGATTTACATCTGTTTTCCTGTTTATCAGATTTACGTCTGATTTCCTGTTTATCAGATTTACATCAGTTTTCCTGTTTATCAGATTTACATCTGATTTCCTGTTTATCAGATTTACATCTGTTTTCCTGTTTATCAGATTTACGTCTGTTTTCCTGTTTACCAGATTTACATCTGATTTCCTGTTTACCAGATTTACATCTGATTTCCTGTTTATCAGATTTACGTCTGATTTCCTGTTTACCAGATTTACATCTGATGTCCTGTTTACCAGATTTACATCTGTTTTCCTGTTTACCAGATTTACATCTGTTTTCCTGTTTATCAGATTTACATCTGTTTTCCTGTTTACCAGATTTACATCTGATTTCCTGTTTATCAGATTTACATCTGTTTTCCTGTTTATCAGATTTACATCTGTTTTCCTGTTTATCAGATTTACGTCTGTTTTCCTGTTTACCAGATTTACATCTGTTTTCCTGTTTATCAGATTTACATCTGATTTCCTGTTTACCAGATTTACATCTGTTTTCCTGTTTACCAGATTTACATCTGTTTTCCTGTTTATCAGATTTACATCTGTTTTCCTGTTTATCAGATTTACATCTGTTTTCCTGTTTATCAGATTTACATCTGTTTTCCTGTTTATCAGATTTACATTGTAAGTCTGGGTCAAACTTTGATAGCTTTTACTTTAAAAAAATGAGTAAATGCATTGCCTCTTACATAGAAAATGCAAAAAGGTCCTGATTTGGCAGGATTTTATATTTGGTAGAATTTGTAATTACATTTGAGTGTTTATGAAATTTCCTTTAAAGTTATATATAAGCAACTTGGTGAAGCCTTGAAACAAGTAATTCAAAATAGTATATATGACATCTATTTACATGTATATGATTGTATCTTATTGATTAAGGATTTTAGACAGTGTTTATTTCATATTAGCTCAACAAAGGATAATGTGTCACAGTATACATCGTCATAAAAAAAGTTTTCTGCTAATTATAGATAAAAGTTGTACAGCTCTAAAGCACTGGATGTTTTATAGATTCAGATTTTTCGTAACTATATAGAACCACCTTCTGAATAATATTATGAAAATATAATATTTAAAGTTTTCTATGCAGAGTTGCTAAAAAACCTTCATGTTTCAGGACAAATATATCATCACTGCATGATAGCATTAATATCTTTAACAAAAAGGGGGCCAAAAGTTGAACCTGGACACCCTGCTCAGTAGGTGCTTTCAAATGATCTCAGAGAAAATTAGTATGTTTTTGCTCTTCAGGTCAAATACTTGGTAACATTATCCAGCCTTTATCTGCATATCTGTTAGTTTTAATGCTGTACTGCTTTTAATAAATGATGAGATACAGACAGAATCTCCACTTAAAACTAAGGATCGTAACACAATACATTGTTCAACATGACAGAAATGGTCTCCCTTTTCATTGCTACTCCTTACTGAAGAAGGTGTGAGAGATTGAACCTCCACTAATCAAACCCATGCATCTTTCAAGATTTCCATTATGACAACCATATTGAAATCCTTACATGACTGCAGAAAACAATTCACCTGTCCTTGGATAGTGATATGGACCCCAATTTTTATGTAAAAACTCATGTTGGTAAATTCAGGTATGAGGATAATTCAAATTTACATTCCAACCAAGATCAATGTTTGTTACTTTGAATCAAAATTGTGAGAGATATTTTACCATACATTAAACATTTCACCGTCTGAGTAAGTAATCAATTATTTTTGTTTTCAGATCCTGATTCATTGAGGAACATAAACAACTTGGAAGTTCTCAAACTTTTAGCAATATGGGTAATTTTGGAGGCCACGCTCTTCCAGGATCATTCTTCATCCTGTTTGCATTATGGTGGACAGTGCAAATGTTTCATAGATACTACAACTGCCGTCAAAGAAATACACGTTTTGTCTCCACAGCAACATATCCCTGTTCATGTCTGTGTGGAAAATTTGCAGAATGGCCAATAGAACCTGTAGTGAAGTTGTTCTTCGTTACAGTTGGTTTTAGTCTAGAAATTTACACGGGTTTTAATGACGGAAAGTTCACAACTCTTGGAAATGGACAGCATGCTACTATGTTCTTTTTTTTTGGACTAACAGGTGTGATGGATCTGCTACAATACTTCAAAGCTCCAGTGCCCAAAGATATTGAATATGTTAGCATGTGGTTGGCCGTAATGGTAGAAGGTTTGCTATTCAAGTTTCACCTTCATGGCAGGAATGAATTGGATGTCCTCCTTCATACACTCCTCATTTACACTATCGGTGCCAACCTGCTGGCACTGACAGCAGAAATCAAGTGGAGAAACAATATTCTCATCGCATTGTCACGATCCTATTTCATTTTCTTGCAAGGAACATGGTTTTGGCAGGTAGCTTTTATCCTGTACAACCCATCACCTGGAGCTGAGGCATGGAACCCAGAGGACCACGATTCATTGATGATAGCAACCATGTTCTTCACCTGGCATTGTGGGGCTGTGTTCTTAACAATGCTAGCAATAGGAGGTTTTGTGGCATGTTTTCATAAAAGATTTAAAGATTTCAATGAAAATGAAATGGCAATGAAACGGTTGATACATACAGGTGCTAACGGGCAGACGTTGATCAGCATGAATGATGACAGCGACAGCGAAATTGAGTTCCAGAAGTCAACAGTTGGTCAGTAGGACTAACAATACTAGGTACACCATGTTGTTCTGAACACCTGCAGCTTTTGCTTGCATAGTTGTGTTCAATCAATAGCCATCCAGTTTATTTAAACGTCAAGGTAATGATTTGTTAAGTGTACATCATTTTTGCTTTGTTATGTCCATGAAACGAAGCTGATCGAGGCCTTATATCATATATCAGTATAGTGCATACTGATATTTCTATGGTTTTAGTACAAACAGATATGAATTCCTGACCTTTTACAGGCCATATAAAGTTTCCAAAGTAACAGAATCAGTCCTTAACCAGAGTCACAAATTTCATGTTGCAATCCTACAAATGAAGACGAGATGAAGAAGCCTTTTTCTTAGCTCCTTTCTGGTACCACTAAATCTTTTTCTTTCCTCTACGCTGCTAAGAAATAATTGCTCCTTGTAGAATAGACTTCGCCATTGTAATTCAATCTGGATACATGTACTTGTGAATTATATCACCTCATTGACAATAGAATGAGCATGCTTTTGTAAACGTGGTTTACTTGTTATTCAACAAATTTGTTATCAACAATTGTATTGTTGAAGTGTTGATTTCAATCCCTTAATTTTGAGGATGATCTGACAAATTATTTGGTTTAGATAAGAGGTTCAAGGAAATTAAAGTTGATAATCAATTTTGGTCAGAAGTGAGCTTTTGCTAATTTGGCTCTGATCACGTAAATTTACTATGTCACATTATCCAGTGACCTCACACTGTATCAACAAGAAATAATGTTGGGGGGCATTGTTTATCCTTTTTATAACAACAAGACATAATTTCCAGAGTAGAAACTTTTGTGGCTATCTCACAACTTTAATTCTTTAGTCTTTGTCTTTTTTTGTTTTCATTTATTTTTGTTGACAAATTTTTTTAATAATCTTCTACAAATGTTTTCCGATATACAGTATACAATTGATCTGATCTGATCCGATGTTTGTTTACATCATATATCTCATGCTCTTGGTTTATCTCCAGCATCAGATTAATTTTCTCAAAATTTTGTTTTTTATGTTTTAAAGACGATTTTCAGTCAGTTTCAATATTTCTTACTTTCCTACAATTAAATGTATTGGTAAATATCAAACAAATGTATGTATTCAACTGTGAGAGTCATTAAATACTTCATTTTCTTTTTATCATATTTAACATATTTCAAAGGTTGAAATGAAGGCGCAGTGTCAGGAACATTTCTGGCAATAGATGACATGTATTGTTATGCCAAAAATAGTGTTACATTTAAAACAAGTTAAAATGTATAAATGAGTTTAAACTGAAATATTTGAGACTATATATGGCCAAGAAAACTGAAAGATAATGTATATACTATGAATAGTAGATACTGTAGTAGTATCACACAATAGTGATCACAAAGAATTTGATGATTATAGATAAATATATCTTGTTTATAGTAGTTAATTATGTCTTTATCTAAAGTGACCATTACGTGTTTTGCTAATTTTTAATTTCAGATTACAAGATTTCTCTACATATTTCACATTAACATTGTATGTCTGTATAATATAACATACCTGTACACTGAAGTATGTCGCATGTAATACATGTGACAGGTACAGGTAATAGGGCATTTGTAGATACAGAAAAGTCATGAATACCAGGTATACCAGCTAGGTCTATATGATACAGGTTTTATCCTGCAACTGGCATTGCTGTTGTCAAAAAACACCTGTCACATATATTTTTGCTGTATTTGGCAGGGACGGAAAACAGCTGTATTTTGGTATGTCACTGAATTACACCTGAGTTCACTTAATTATTGTGTTTAGAATTATAAATAGTTGTCGAAATAAGCAGTTTTACATGTTGTAATGAACATGTTGATATACGAAAATTCATGAAATCGCTGTTATATCCAAAAAAGTTTGGAACTATATTTCTGTGCGGAGCAATTATTTTGGTGTCCGTCATTCGACAAAATTCAGCAAAATGTCAACATCAGGTAAATACAGATTGAACAACAAAACTATTAAGTTTCAGTAGCCTAATTTTCAATCAGTGTTGCAGTATAAAAAGAATATATAGTCAGTGTCTTAAAATATAAGCTGCATTTTGGCTTGGGACAGAAAGACAAAAGTGGCTCTCCAGAGGCTCGCCATTTTGACTCTTCATCCTTGCCAAAATACAGCATATATTTCAAGACACTGCCCATGTCTTCTCTATGTAGGCAAAGTGTATACAATACAGATTTTACGCCAAATCTGTATAATACAGAATGTAAGCCAAGTCTATATTATACTAGTATGCTACAATACGGATTGTATGTCATGTCTATATAATACAGGTGTGTTACATATGTCTATATATACTACAGGTTGTAGGTAATGTCTACAATACAGATTGTAGGTCATGTCTATATAATACAGGTGTGTTACATATGTCTACAATACAGATTGTAGGTCATGTCTATATAATACAGGTGTGTTACATATGTCTACAATACAGATTGTAGGTCATGTCTATATAATACAGGTGTGTTACATATGTCTATATATACTACAGGTCGTAGGTCATGTCTACATTATAAGGGAAGGTAATATAATACAGGTAGGTTGTGTGGATATTATACAGGCAATAGTACAGGTTGCCTTACTAGCCTTCGTTAGTGGATATTTTTCCCTTGAGTCGGGCTGTAGAGTGTCCAGCTAGAGATTGAAGGGTCGCTTGTTCAAACCCTCGTAGATGCAGGATGTTTTTCTTGGCTCCTTCGTATTACTTAATAGTACTATATACTCCAGGTATTTCTGTATGATAGTGGTAGGTTATAAAAAGATAATGTTACAAGTGAATTTTGCAAATATTCATACATTTGCTCAGGTACACATCAAAGCTGGTTGTAAATACAATAAAAATCTAATATTTGTTGTATCCAATGTTATGTTTGTATATTATAAAATTTCTTATATTTAACTTCATTTAATTACCTAATTCATTGTAATGAAAACCAAATTTTCTCTTTAAAAATAGAACAAATAATTTATGATAGAAATAATTCTTACAAATAGGAAGAATATGACGATATAAAAAAATTCAGAAACATCTTATCAGGTAACAAAGTATTTATAGCATATTCAGACTGTGAGTATTAGCTTTATGGTTACTGAAATTTATACTGGGATTTGTTTTTCAAAAGTAACAGAATACCACATCTATATTGTGAGTGTTAATTACCTCTCATCAGTACATGTAATTAATTAATTAATTGGATCAAGATAATAATATGTAACATTATGATTATATATGCAATTTGAATTCAGCTCATTGACATATCATTAAGGAAATTTATATATATATACTGGTACATGTATATATAGCCTTTTTTTAGCAATCAATTTTTTAAAATCACTCTGAATATGGTATACGTGTGTGTTGTTTAATTTATAGTTGAAAGAGTCCTGTGTTAAAATCATACAATATTGTGTGCCCAGATAGTCCAATCTTTTCAAAAAATAATATATGACTTTTCTCTTTGTGACCTTGTGGAATGTTCAACATTTAAATTGTAAGCATGAAAGTAGCTTCAGTACAGGTTTATCCTACTAATGATTTATTATCTCCCTTTAGTGTAAATATTAGAGGTTTTACTTTTTACTGGTCACAGTAGTTCCACAATGTTATATTTATGCCACACAATTTTAATAATTCAAAGGAAAAAGAAAGATACATTTCAGTTGTACCAGGTATCAATCTCGGACCATATTTCCGACCCAGTGGTGGTAAAACTTCATCTACACATACAGTACCAGATTTGGTATGCATGTCCCTTTTATAAAATTTTCGAAATTCTACAAATTTCGGATTACTAAGGTTTATATACCTGTAGATTTTCTCTTCTTTACATATATAATTTTAAGAATCAAATCAAAAAATATGATCTCATTCTGAGAAAAAAAGGAAAACAAAATAATGATTGCTTTATTTTTCTCATCATTAAATCAAATTCAGTGATAATTAACGTATCACACTTTTTATTTAATTGTATTTATTTTATATTCATTACAAGAGCATTATTTATATCTATATTTTTTGCTTTATGTTAGAAATCCTGCACTTTATAAATAGAAGTCTAATACCTGATGAAGAGGGTACTTTAAACATACGTAATTTTACACAATCAAACTGTAGTACATTATCACTTTGCGGCAAATTAGATGATGAATTTGAGCACCCACAAAAATTGTTTTAAATTACAGCACGATTGTATTTTATCAGGAAAAGTGCTAAAACAAATGAAAACTGTTTACTGTACTCTGTGCTTTGTGTACATGTGTCTCTACAAATATAATATCCTCTTCCCTTATCTGAAGTCTTTCATCTTATTTGTATTATGTGGCTTGTATCATTGATATTGTATTGCATTCTGTGTTGGAGATGCACTTTTAATATGTTATTACTGCAGCTTTTTTTAATCATGCTCAAAAAACACCACACATGTTTTGAAAAAGATATTGGATGGAGTGCTTACTACAGGCAAAGATCTATATCATGATATACAGAATGTGAGGGCAGGGGACATACCCACAATTTACAGAATGTGAGGGCAGGGAACATACCCACAATTTACAGAATGTGAGGGAAGGGGACATACCCACAATTTACAGAATTTGAGGGCAGCAAACATACCCACAATTTACAGATTGTGAGGGCAGGGGACATACCCACAATTTACAGAATATGAGGGTAGGGGACATATCCACAGTTTACAGTCTGTGAGGGCAGGGGACATACCCACAATTTACAGATTGTGAGGGTGGGGGACATACCCATGATTTACAGATTGTGAGGGTAGGGGACATACCCATGATTTACAGAATATGAGGGTAGGGGACATATCCACAGTTTACAGTATGTGAGGGCAGGGGACATACCCACAATTTACAGATTGTGAGGGAAGGGGACATACCCACAATTTACAGATTGTGAGGGTGGGGAACTTACCCACAGTTTACAGTCTGTGAGGGTGGGG